TTGTAAACAGGCTGGCTTACTATGACCATCCAAAACACGTAGACTAAATCCTACAAATGTGACTAATTCAACGCCATGGTATGTACACTCTACTGCTTACCGAAAACTCTACGTCATACATGTAGGGTATTTGCCCTTCTCGCGTGTCCTACTTACAAACACAACGTGACGCGGTGGTGGTCAGTTCGGGTAACGCCCCCTCTGGCCCCGATCAAGTATACGTGTAGCGTGACCAATTACGTCAGACTATACACATATCAACCACAAACACGAAACACAAACAACAAACGTGAAGCCCTGGTTTCCATTATAACATTTCACAAATCATTTAATCAAACACGATTTCATATTATAATCAATCTAATCCCGTTCATAGTTCAATATTCATTCGTTTTCTTTCTCACCTGAAATCTTTACGTCCATGTTAGAAGGTCTGTACCTGTTTATACACATTGAAATGACGTATACTGTTTATTCAATGGTGATTATACCTGAGATAAATCGGTCAGAACGTTGACCCCGTTTATGACCAATTGAACTCGGCTATGTACAAAACACCAGTGAAACATCTGCGTAGTTAGTTTGAATACGGACTTCGATACAGATCTATCCGTGGTTTGTATGTGGGCGAGGACTCGGTTCAAAGTTTCCTTACTAATGAAAAATATATAAGTTGTAAAAGTCAACTGTTTCATCATTTTGCATTGAATTGGGAAATGTGTTGACTTTTTTTTAAAAAAAAAAGATATTTTACTGATAATCATTGAGTGAACTATGTACAGTGCATCGGTGTATAAAACTACGGTGTATCCGGAATTAAGACGGTGAATAAACTCTCTTAATCATTATCATCTACTTATCAGATTTGATGAAAAAGAAAGGTGATTAAAATATTTTTCTCTTAAGCTAAAAACAGGAATACACAGGAAAGCTTGAAATAAATGATTATTTGTTAGATTAGGAACTACCAGTATTTTTAGCGCGATTTCAATAAGCCAGCAAGAGTTGTCTCCCTTAGATCGAAAACCTGTCCCTCTTTGATGCGGATTGATGGCGTTTGTTCTATTAAAACATTGATATTTAAAACTTATTTACGGCATCTGTGCAACAAATTACACCCCATCACACTTAGACACACAAATAATACAAATAATACTTATAAATACTTTTTCTTTTCACATACAATCAAGCCATGCAACCTCCTCTCCTCTCTAAAGCAGCAGTACAATGTACTACACTAGAGGACTTTTAAAGCACATCTCCCGTACGTTGCACTTGAAGTCATCACATACTAACACAATACAGCAGCTTTTCAATTAAAAAAATATCCTAACAGATAACCACTGTAAATAACCTTTCCCCATCACGCCCCTGTCCACAACAGAGCATAATCATCTCTATTGTTAGAGCTTTGAAACACCCGGGAAGAAGATAGCACACAATGAGCCTTCCTTTGGAAGGAAATCTAGGTTTTCACATCTGATCGAGGAATCCACCAGGGCCTCTCTTCTAGAAAAATAATGTTCTGTCTCTGAAGTGATAACTTAATGTCAATATTCACATTTTTATGCTGCTATAAATATTCACATTTTCCTCATTAAGCTCATTTCAGAGTCTCCAACATGAGCATTATCACTTAAATTGTTCATAACATGATATCAAATGTGAATACATACATTAAATTATCATTTAGGAGAGGCTTTTTCCTAACCAGCTCATCTACTGAAAAACTAAAAGAACATTATAACCGATGCTTTAAAACCTGTTTTTAAAAAATCCTATCCCAGCTAACTTGACGCAGTACTCATACATTTAAATTTTGTTTATTTAGTTGGAATATTCATTGAAGTTGATAGGATAGCCAATATAAATATGTTCGCAAAGTCACAAAAAAAAATGTTTATACATCATCTTATTTCAGTGCAGTATTTGATGAGATATAAAAATAATGAATAAGTGTAAACACTGGAGGCATAACTCACCTTGTGTTTCAATTATCTGCAGTGTTATCATAACACCCATGGTCTGCACACTAAATGGAATATGTAGCCAGACATGGGGGGAAGTCAACCTTCTAAGTTGGAATTATTTTAAATCAGGTAATGGTAAGTCGAATGATAAGTATACCAGTACATCATCCTGGAGTGATAAAATGGTGTTTTGAGCCCGCCCAAAAAATTGCTGTCAGCCGTACACCCAAAATTATTCTTATGCATGCATAGTTGAGAACAATAGGTATCACCAGTGATGCTGCATATGTACACTGTCAATATGCATGTGACATTTCAAACTGGCACTCATGAAAACAATTACTGCAAATAACACTGTCATGGTATCGCTTAAATTTACATACCTGTGGCATCCTTTAGTAAGATAAAAGGAATCGTGTTCATCTCCTCCTTTACCTACAAGATACCTATCTTTCTATTGGTCAGTTTTTATACCGGCATCAGATTTTGGCGTTTAACTCACTTCTGGTCAAAAATCAATCTATAAGTGCTAAACATTAATAATGTATATATGTAAATCTGTGATAGGATTTAATAACCACAAACCTTCAAAGTTGTCCAAGGAAATATACTGAGAACAGATGGGAGACAGTTTCTCCTTGAAGAAATAGAGCGTTATTAAAGCATATCAATCCACAATTACTTATTCAGGTAAGCCACTGTTTGTTACTGACCAATGAATGCAAAATAATCTGACATCCAATCAATACATGGTGCCTTACTGACAGATCTGAAGAATCTACTAACCTCCCACCATGTGATCAATCCCCAAATATCCTACCAGGTAAACAATCCCTAACTTCCTAAAAAGTAAAAATCCCTCACCTTCTAAAAACTATACAATCCCTAACCTCTCAAAAGGTAAACAATCCCTAACCTCCCAAAAGGTAAACAATCCCCTACCCTTCCACCAGGTAAACAATCTTTAATCTCCCACCATGTAAACAATCCCTTACCTCCCAAAAGGTAAACAATCCCCTACCCTTCCACCAGGTAAACAACCCCCCAACCTCCCACATGGCAAACAATCCCTTAACCTCGCACCATGTAAGCAATCCCCTAACCTCCAACCAGGTAAACAATACCCTGATCTCCCACCAGGTAAACAATCCCCCAACCTCCCACATGGCAAACGATCTCTTAACCTTCCACCAGGTAAACAATACCCTAACCACACACCATGTAAACAATCCCCCAACCTCCAACCAGGTAAACAATCTCTTAACCTCCCACTAGGTAAACAGATTTCTGTCATCTGAAGGAAAAATTAATATACACATATTTTATATTCTTTTTTAAGAGAGAAAGAGCATGTTCAGGGTTATTTTCTGTTATCCAGTTTGATTTCAGTTAATAGTCTTAACTCTTACTTTCACATCCTGTACCAAGGTAAGTGAAGTTACAAGGACATAATTCAAAATCTGCATCTTATCTTGAGGATTTAAAATCATATTAAGTGAAACACACTTTTCTTCTACACATGAAATGTTTCCTATTTTCCTTCTCAGATTGATAGAGTGAAAATTTAATATACTCAAGGGATAAAGAAATGCAGGATAGATTTAACAGATGATTCTAGGCAAGACTTTGAGTATAATGTTCATTACTTTTAAGTAAGAATGAAGATTTATCCATACAGAACAAACTGCAAAATCAACGGTTTGTGATTTAGGAGTAATTGAAGGGAATTGAAAGAGAACTCTGTAATCTGATATCGAAATGGTCCGATTGTGGGAGCTGGCTAGTCAATACAAGGTATGTCCCCTGTTTACTTTCTCCACAACCCTGATTCTCCTAAGCATGGAGTTCCAATGAATTCTCTTCATTGGAATGTTGGCCCATTTTTCAAAGAGGACTGCTCTCATTTGGGCCAGAGTAACGGGGAGGTTGGCATCGTCAAAACTCTCCATCCAGCTGGTCCCACAAGTGCTCAGTAGGGGTAGGTTGGGACTATGATGGCCAGTCCAGTGGGTGGATATTGTTGTTAGTGAGAAAGTCGCGACAGATCCTCACTTCATGGGGACAAACATTATCCTGCTGGCATGTGAGGTTGTTGTGCTGCAATAATGGGACATACAACACTGGTGACGAGCAGTGGTAAGGGGCAGACCGACAAACAGGTGACGTGCCCACAGACCAACTTCCTGCAATTGTTTCCTTACAGTTTTTACATGGATAGAACGGTTATGAGTACCTGTTTTGAAGGGAAGATTCACTGGAAGTAGGGTGCCGGTCGCACAAATACGCAAGATGAATAAACTTGTCCTGAGGTTGTGACTTTACGCACTGATGCCCAGACCTAAGTCTGGCAGTAACCCACACAGTTTCCCTTTGAGGTCTAACAAGACGTTCTATAGTACAAATATGGATACCAAAATTTCTGGCGACCTGCATTTGCCTTTGACCTTGCATAATCATCACAATGGCCTGACCCTCTCTGAACTTCAATCAGCCATGCCATCAGATATTAATCAAAATATTGGAAAATGATGTATCTCTATGAAGATTACCTTATGGTATGGCGAGCAGTGTAAATCAATGTCACAACACTGCTGTGCACAAGATTTTCCAGTTTCGTACTTTCCCTGGAAGACATTGTCACGTTATACAACAATGCAACATTCAGTACAGGACCACATGCACTGTAACCTAGAGAGTTGCTTGACCGATATTCATTGTTTTTTAAAGACAGTTATCAATCCCAACAAGTCACTGTCAAAACCGAGTCATTGTGTTTTTAAAGACAGTTATCAATCCCAACAAGTCACTGTCAAAACCGAGTCATTGTGTTTTTAAAGACAGTTATCAATCCCAACAAGTCACTGTCAAAACCGAGTCATTGTGTTTTTAAACATGTTTGCAAGATATTGCAAATAATGTCACCTTGTGGTTCTTTATCCGTTGAATATATGTGAGGTTCAAACGACTATATCCTCTTTAAATCAACCATTGAATTATTTACAAAACAGATGTCACAAGACAAAGACAAAACAACTTTGTTATCTTTTATTGCTTTTTTTTCTGGATTCCTTTACGAATCCGATCCACAGCTTTCATTATTGATATAATCATCTAAATAGTTGATAACCAACATTCCTGATATTTCATTTATTTAATAGTTCATGCTTTAGTTTCTATAGATCAAGGCTGGTCCCTGTGTCACAGATTTATCAACAATAACTATATCATTGTTTTCATTATTTAGAATATAGCAAGATTTAATGGCAAAAATATTGAATAAAGATTTTCAAAGTTGGTACAGTGTAACCTACACTGAACGATAACAACCTCAGTTATGTGAACTAGGTTGTTCTCAGTGATTCAGTACCATCACGGTTATCAATGATTACCAAATCTTCGACCACCTATTGACCTATGACACAGGATAACCTCAATGACCCTTTTTATCTCTGACACTAACTTTATCAATAAACAAGGATGGCCTTTCTGGTTCAATGACGTATCTTACATAAGGTCATCCCAGCAGATATGTATGTGAATGACATCCAACGACAACAGTCGCACTGTAAGGTAGGGCTTTGTTTCAACATGGATGCCATTCCATTGTGCCCCTATAATCATATAGGGGAAATCCAATTGTAAAAATTTTATGAATAAAATGCTTTATGGAGGAAGCTTATTGATATTATCCAGTCCTTTTCTAGGGGGGGACAACTCATCTAAAGGATCCAGCTCTTTATCAATCCCCACAATAACACAACCTCACTATGATATTCAGTTCAATCTGTCATGTTCAGTTGATTGATCACTAAATTTGTTGTCATGGCATCGGTACATCGTTGCGTACATTGTTGGGTTTGGAGTTTATCTTCATTTCCACTCGGTTGGGAGTCACATGACCAAAGTGATCTTTAATGACAATCTGTGCCATCTTCCTTCGACCTTGAAAAAAGAAATGGATCATTCCTGCACTGACCATTACTGAACATTCTCCTCAGATAATAAAAAAAAACTAATGCAATCATTCAATTTGTTCACTTTGATCAAGACTTCATTATAACTTCATGGAAAAAATAATACAGAAACAATACCAATGAAATACTTACATGTGATGCTCTTAACATCTATATATGGAGTTATCTACTCACTCAAGACATCAATATTTTTTAATTTTTTAAAACAAATACCATCAACATATATCTACCACTAAACATGCCCTGAGGGAAGCACCATAGGGTCTAACTAGGAGGAAACCCAGTAAACCATAGAAAGGTCGCCTGGTTTTTAAAACCAGTCTGAGTATGAGCTTCAGACTACAGATCATGAGAGGAAAAGTCTTAGTATGAGAATTAGATTACAGATCATGAGAGGAAAAGTCTGAGTATGAGCTACAGACTACAGATCATGAGAGGAAAAGTCTGAGTATGAGCTACAGACTACAGATCGTGAGAGGAAAAGTCTGAGTATGAGCACTTGATTACAGATCATGAGAGGAAAAGTCTGAGTATGAGCTACAGACTACAGATCATGAGAGGAAAAGTCTGAGTATGAGCTACAGACTACAGATCATGAGAGGAAAAGTCTGAGTATGAGCTACAGACTACAGATCTGAGAGGAAAAGTCTGAGAGACTACAGAAGGAAAAGTCTGAGTATGAGCTACAGACTACAGATCATGAGAGGAAAAGTCTGAGTATGAGCTACAGACTACAGATCATGAGAGGAAAAGTCTGAGTATGAGCTACAGACTACAGATCATGAGAGGAAAAGTCTGAGTATGAGCTACAGACTACAGATCATGAGAGGAAAAGTCTGAGTATGAGCTACAGACTACAGATCATGAGAGGAAAAGTCTGAGTATGAGCTACAGACTACAGATCATGAGAGGAAAAGTCTGAGTATGAGCTACAGACTACAGATCATGAGAGGAGAGCATTAGACTGGTAGAATTTTTAACCTTACCTTCTATCAGGTCCAAGTACAGTTTAAGGAAGTACATCTGGGATGGCAGAGGGGTACCAATGTAGTTAGAGCTCTGGAATATAGATACATTTTCTTACAGATATTACAATATTAAATTTCCAAGCTCTCTTCTATATTTTAATACATAGTTTTCTAAGAAATAACTCAACTTGTTTTACACCAAACCATTTCATTGACATTTTGAAGATAAAAAATGAATTTTTAATATTCACATTACTCTGTCTTACGAGATAAGAGGGCATACTGAGTACATTTGTGTTGCTAAAGTGAAACATCTCTCCTATCGGCCCCCCCTAAAATTAAGTCCCCTACTGGCCCCCTCAAAACATATCCCAACCAGCCCCCTAAAATCATGTCCCCATTGACTTTTTCCTAATATGTCCCCTACTGACCCCTCAAAATATGTCCTCTCAAAGCATGTCCCCCAACTGTCCCCACCTAAAATATGTCCCCTACTGACTCTCTCAAAACATGTCTCCAGCCAGCACCCTTAAAACACGTCCCCAACTGTCCCCCTCTAAAAATGTTCCCAACAAGCCCCCTCAAAACATGTCCCCTACTGACTCCCTCAAAACATGTCTCCAGCCAGCCCCCTCAAAGCATGTCCCCCAACTGTCCCCCTCAAAACATGTCCCTAACCATCCACACTAAAAATATGTCCCTTACTGGCCTCTGATGTAATTACTTATCCATGCTATACTTCTAATAAATCAGCACGTCAGACTGACCTATTTCCGCTCTGTTTACCAATAGTGGATTAATAAAATAACTGACCTCTCCCAAGTTGGCCATGGCTTTATCATACTCTCCACGTATTGCATGTGCTGTAGCCAGATTATACTGCATTATAGCTTTGGCTTTTGTCAGATCTTTTGGCGACCATGGAAACAGAGAACCTTTCAGAGAAAAGGAAATCAATGTAAACACATACTTAGTGAGAAAAAGATTGGATATAAAATTTAACATTCAAAATTTTCACCATCACAAGTTGAATACATTTTATTCATTAACATTTTAATTTTAAGAATAATTTATCCACAAACCTTTGGCTTCTGAAGATTCTTGGTCTTTTTCCCCTTTGTCTAGCTTATCTCCCTTTTCATTCTTATCTGTAGTAGAAACGTTTGTCATTAGGAAAATAATGAAAGTAATATCTCAACAGCAGAGTCAAAATTCAGACTTCTACCAGCCGAATCTTGGCACCCACCATTTCATGATCTTTTTGGTTCTAGAAAAAGCTGATATTTTCCCTACTTTTCCAGCTTTTCTTCTTAATCATTTGACAAGTTAATCTTACACGTAAAATCTCAAAAAAAACCTAACAAGAGCTTATTGAGAATTAGCGTTAACTTCAACTCTAAAAGTCTGAGATAATCTATGGTAAGTCATTTTGTTTTATTGAACAAACACAAAATTGAATAGGCACAACTTGAAACCACAGGGAATTTGTACATTAAATTTCAGTAATATCCCTCATATTTATCAAGAAACAGCAATAACAATCTTAAACTGTCAATATCAAGGATGTCCATTTGTTTCCATTTACTCCAGAGGTAAAATAGAAAACCTGAAGTCCATTCTATATTTTATTTTGGTAGTAAAAGATCTGTTCAGTTTTTATTGGATTGATTTATCAAGTTTCTGGTTTCCTTTACCAGGGTTATTTCTTTTGGCTTCACCTTAGGATGTAGACCTTGTTTCTGTAAACCTGACAAACTTGCTATATCTTTAAGTTACACACTTTAGACTGAATATTATCATTGATTCACTGCCACCTATCAATGATCTCTGATCACTGATGTTTATCTAAGCAAGCTTTGTCCTATGACCTGAATATCAGTTTGTTAATGTAAATACCTTGTTCAGATTTCTGCTCCGGTGGATTTGTACTGATGTCAACAACTGTCTCTGGGTTAAGATGTTGGATGGCATCTGCTATCTTATCCATTGAAACAAGAGCCTCAGCCATGTACAGGTGGCCCAGGTACCTACACAAAAGGTAGGAAAGATATAGACAGTTGATTCAACAATATATATGTGGTAGGAGTCAGGCTGTGTTCTTCTATATGTAGTGAAAGTGAGTTTTGTGTGATTTCTATACAGCAGGAGTAAGGCTGTGTTCTTCTACATGTAGTGAAAGTGAGTCTTGTGTGATTTCTATACAGCAGGAGTAAGGCTGTGTAATTTGTATGTGGTGTGAGTGAAGCTTTAAGTTTTGTATGAGGTGTGAAGGAGGCTATGTAACTTGTGTGTGGTAGGATGAAGATGTGTAATTGATACGTGGTGAGAATGGGGCTGTGTAATTTGTATGTGGTGTGAGGGAGGCTGTGTAATTTGTATGTGGTGTGAGGGAGGCTGTATATTTATAAGTGGTGGGAGCGAGGCTGTGTAATTTGTATGTGGTGGGAAAGGGCTGTGTATTTTGTATGTAGTGGGATTGCGAGATGTGAACTCGGGGATCATTTAAAAACTATCTTATTTTAATGTATATAGTTTAATTTTGGGTATCCGAAACACGCTGGGGATATATAGTTATTATATTATGCAGTGTTCAGATACCTATGTGTTTTCTCATTAGTTGCTAAGATCAACAAGGTCCATGGTGATCATGCACCAGTACCATGCTGGTTTCCATATCATCACTTTCCTTGTCAGTATCAAAATTCCTCCACTAGTTCTGAACTCTTTCCACCATCATCAAACAACTGGATTATTTCTGCCATAAAGCTACCACTTTGTAAACTCTTTTCATAGATAAGTATGGTTTTAACACGTTAAAGTATGGTTATAGAATTAGCTTACCTCCTGTGTTATTTGTCACATACCTGGTAATAGGGTAAAGTTAACCTTGCTGAGTAACCTTGTTTACTGAAATTTTCCAAATGCTTCACAAACCCATTCTAAATCTGATATTTTAAATAATGCTATGTATGCAGCTGATGTAAAATTATCATCCAGCAAAATATTAAGCTTATCACTGAATGGCTACAGAAAGGACCAAGTTAGTACCCCTTTGTATGTGGACTACATGTTACATACTTCTGTGCCCCTGATAGGCGAGGTTGGCGTAGAAGACTCTCTGCATGTTGTAATGCCAAAGTGTAATCATAAAGGCATAAGGACACATAAGCTGCTGACGCTAAGATGGAACACCTATCAGAAACAAGCAAACAGGAAATATTGAGTCAACTTAACACATTGTAAACCAATACATTTTCATGATTTTGACATCACAACACATTTGTGCTGATGATTTTTTTGTGGAACGGTCTCTATTATGCTATATATTATAATTATTGTTTAACGTTCACAAAAATTTGTCCTGATATTGAAAGTAATTCATACACTAAAGTAAATTACACATGAAAACAGGTGTGATTTAAAGTATTGTAACAGTAAATAAAATGCTAACTATTTATAATGATCAGTAAAGAAATACCAATATTCAAAAACAACACTATGATACAGAATCAATTTAGAATAAAGTCCCTTTATAAAGGATAAAGTCAGAAAACAACAACAAGTAGCATCAACAAAACACAGGTAAACATCAATTTGATACAGAATCCAAGGGAATGAGGAAATAGAGTATTTACTTAAAACCAACAAGTATCTTAAATATCACAAAAAATTGTCTTCCTTTCTCATCCAAGTGTTGGTCCTACCTGAGATTTGCGACCTCCAGAGCTCTCATCGGATTACCAGGTGGAGCAGGAACCAGCACCATTTCTGGAGGAGTCTTACTGCAATATGATGTTGATGTAATAATATACAATACTGAATGATCTATTCTCTATGTCAGCAGAGATAATTTTCCATAAACGTGAAGTTACTATCTTCTATCAAGTTTTATAGATATAATATCTTATCTTGTCATAAAAAAATTAAAAAATTTATACCAACAGTGAATGCAGATTTCTGTGGCTATATCAGAAGGTTGATCTTATTTGTTGAGTCTCCTTATAACACTTTAACCAATATAAGTGCAGTACTCACACTCCGTCCTGATCCTCTGTTTGTGTGGGTTGTGTATTGAGGGGATCATCTCGTATCAAGAGCAGGGCATTTTTCAGACAGAGAGCAGCAAACTCAAGGTTAGGGGCTGGTATTGCTGGTGTGCCAGGACTGGAAAAAAACATTATATAAGTTACTGTCTCAATTATAACACAATCAATTATAACTTTTTGTAAATTGAAAATTTCCAGTTCTGAAGGACTATACTGTCTATACCATCCCTTGCCCTGTTTTCATGATTACCTGGGCCAAAACAAATTTATATGTTCTTATCATGCCTTGCCCTTTTTTTTTTAAACACCCAGGCCAAATCTAAATTCTTGGTCACAGCATTATCTTGCACTGATTTTTATGGTTGCCTTTGCAAAGTCATAACGTCAAGGTTCTAACATCCTCTAGCCCTGTTTCTGAGTGCTGGGATCAAGTCAAACTTTCAGGTCTTTTAACACTACTTTGCCATGTGTATGTGAATTCAGAGATCCAGTTTAAATCCAGGTATTCACATTAACATGCCAGGAGTAAGTTTAAGTCCAAGCATTACCTTGCCCTGTTTTTGTGAATGCCCGGACCAAGTCGTAACTTCCTGTGGATGCCACTCCCATCTGATCCTTGAATAACTTCAAGTCTTCGTTCCAACTTTCTGTCATCATCATTATTCTAAAATCATAGGTAATATTTGGCTTTACTGTACAGATACAAAATAAATTCAAAATTTGACATATAAAAAATATTTTTGCATATGTTTAAAGTTACAAGTGTTGTTTTTTCGCTTTTTTTTCACAATTAAAGATGAAATCTCCATACATGTATCAGACATTTTGCCTTAATCTGTATAGTAACACTCTAAAAATACTCTAGAACAAATAACGTAAGAAAAACAGGTAATGCCATCAACAGATTTCAGTGGCAATGAAATTATAAAATCTATGAAATAGCATTGTCTAGGTGTCAAGTAAATAATTCCTTTTTCAGCAGTATAAATATTCCCCACTGAGGTCTGAACAGATTTAATAACATTCACCTACTCCTCTGTTAGACAAAATGACTGAAATATGAAATATTTGTTCTTTTCTTTTAAGAATTAAAAGAACAAATATATTTCACATTTCAAATGAATTTAGATAACACAAAGACCAAAGGGTTATCTCATCTCACTATATGAACTATCATTGGGATAGCACAAAGACCAAAGTGTTATCTCCCTTCAATATATAAACTGTCATTAAGATAACACAAAGACCAAAGGGTTATCTTCCGTCAATATATGAACTACAATTAGGATGACACACAGACCAAAGGGTTATCTCCCTTCGCTATATGACCTATCATTAGACTCACCTCTCGGTTGGCCATGATACAACACTCAGCAAGTCGTAACCACAGCCGAGGATTGATCCGGAAAACTTGTACAGCCTCAACTAGACACTCGAACGCACCCAGTGGATTCCCACAATGCAACAGCTGTATACCCATGTTGTACAACAATTCATAATGACGACTCACACCTATCATATTTAATGGCTTCCCATTCAAATTTTTATCTGAAAAAAAGAAAGTATCAAAGTTTTCAGGGCACTGTAATATCAACAATAAATTATGTGGTCTACTTCAAACTGATTCTACTATAGTATGGTTTTCAATTTGTCTTCTACTTCTGAAGTTCATCAAGCTCCTGGATTATTGTCAAGACTGACTTCTTATTCCACTCACTTAATTACAAAAGTGAGTTATATGTCTGATAAGAGAATATGTTTATATATCTGTATGCCTCTAGCTTTATTTCAATGGAAACGAAGCTAAATCAATATCTTCTTAAAATCTTATCAAACAGTCACAGTGACCTACTTTACCATAAGTACCATAAGTAAAACTAACTTCATACAAATTGTCTATCAATTTTAAAGTCAATCAGACATTGAGAATCACTAATCATGAAGGTAATAGTCAACATTATCCTTATCTGTTTCTGTTAGGGATAAGTAACTCACGCTGTTCTGCTCCTCGTCGTAGATCTTTGATTGCATTTTCATTTTCTTGAATAGCCTTACGGAAGTTAAATGCACCATTGTGATGTTTGCGCATATGAAAGTGCACACATCCCATATTGTTATAATACATTACTGGCAAGCATTCTCCTGACTCTGTGAACAGTTGCACAAATGAAGGTGGCCCCAACATTTTGATTGTTTTTCGATAATTGCCTCTTAGATATTCAAAATTACTCTTTAGAAATATCACAGAAGTGTTCTGTAAAAACAACAAAAAAACACAAGTAAAAAACACAGAAGTACTCAATAAAAAGATATCAACATTTTGAATGATTTACATGGTAACCACAAACAGTTCTCATTCTAAATAAATAATGATAGGCAGTGCTCTTATTCCTGTTTCTATGGAATCAAGATATTCTGTTTTATCATAAAAGTAGACATATTTCACAATTCTTTATAAAATTTTACACATGGGAGTCGATGGGAGTTATTCCTTTTTTTTAAAGATAAACATGACCATAAACATAACCATTAGTATTGAAGTTAACCCTGACATAGCTGTGTCTATTTTTTTATAATATTGCAAAACAATTCCTTTCTCTATATATAGTCAAACTTTGTTATCTTAAACTCGTATAACTTGAAGACCGCATTTAATTTTAATCATTTTGCTGGTCCCTGTCTAACTCAACACAAAACATTCTAACTCACTTAAATGAAACACTCAGTTATATTGAAATTTTCTCTTGGTTCCATCAAGTTCAAGATAAAGACATTCGACTGTACCATGTTACTCACCATTGCCTGGGTATTCATCAACGACTTAATTTCTCTTTTACAGGATTTCATTGATTTCATCATAAGTAAGCACCGTGTTTTGAACTGAAATAAGATTGACCAATGTTTATAGATCACCAGGATATCATCACATTTAAATAACTCATCAGTCAAAATGATAAATCCTTAAAGATAAATTTACATACTTAATAGGACTTCAGAAAGTTTACATACATAGATAAAGGGTCAAACTACGCATGCACTTGTTTTAATATGTGTATTTATTACAAAGAAAAGTTCAAAACTGCAGTTTGAATTCTGTTGATATCATGTCAGTCAAATAAAATTATTATGGAATATTTGTAGATAAATGAAAAAAGTTTAAGATAATCTAAATGCTACATCTGTCAATTTGAAAATGCAGTTTTTCTGAAAGTGAACTTTCTGCCCCAACTATGAAGTACACAGTACCATGCTAATTTTGGGTTTCCACAGTTCTGACGCCTCTGATTCCTCCTTATTTTCCTTCTCTGTTTTTTCTTTGCCTCCATTAAACATAGTTTTTTCAGCATAACTCAGCATTCCAATAGCTTTTTCAGGCTGCAATGACACATTGAAAAATAGTTCATATGCTAAAATAAACTTTAACTTCATGAAAATAAAATAAATACAAAAAGTAAGTTTTAGATATGAATTAAAACAAAGCTAAATTGCAGGTACATAGTGAAAGCAAAATGAAACAAATCTGACATGAACTCTATTTTGAAAAAAATAATTCATACAATATAGCACATTCTTATGAGATGCTTACCTGGAAGGTACACAGGTACAACTCTACAAGCAACATCACTGCTTTTCTAGCTAAGGCTTCTTCTATAGGAGACCAGGAAAAGAAAAATAACAGGATATGTTTATACAATGTTCAAACACAACCTGCTTCAAACTTACAGTCATATAGGAACATGCATGATGATTAAATAAAGAATAAGCAAAGCTAAATTCCTATACTATTTAATGACTGGTAAGACACCACTGGTCTTACACTAGTATGGCTGGATATGAAGTTTTGAAGTGGGCTTTTTTCATCATCACAGCAACAATGGAAGTGAAGTTAGATATGATTATTGTTAGGGCTATACCAGTAAACATTTGCCTACCATGAATCAAGGCCTCACAAAATAAAACTATTAATAGCATTTATTCAATTCAATACATGTAGCATCATATATAAGCTATATTTTCTCCTGTATCCACGACACAATGCAAATAATTTTTTTCACTGGAGTCCACTCATGGATAGGTAAATCCAGTACTAGATTGCCCCCTTATTATGTCAGGTACTTATATAAAGTATGTGGTCCAACATGTGTAGCCATTTTAGTGACACCATTGATTAATCAATATACTCATTTCATGTGTTGATCGTACTTGAACACTATACTTGATAGATGTTTTGCTTCAAGTAAACACTACTGTACTGTATATAGGAAACACATAATAAACAATTATGTATAAATAAATGTAGAAATGTCCACCAGTATCACTGCATATAACATACATGTTCAACACAACAATGTAACTAAAAAAAGGTGGTTTTGATATAGTGTCACCAATCTCCAAGCTATTTTGCAAATTCTGCAAAATTCAGTAATTCTGATCTAATAACTCTGATGAAATTTTCTATAGAAAATGGAAAACCTTTGAAAGACTTTTATTGATATAAACTTTGCAGTTCTTTCCAGTACCAAGTAAGATTTTGGTGTCTGAATGGTTTTACTTACCCAGTGGTTCAATGAATTGGAAGAGTTTGTCGAGGATATTAAGTGCAGCCTTGTACTGTCGTAGGTGGTACAGGACCACTGCTTGATTATAGTAGATAACACTGTGATCCACATCCTCTAAGCTCTCACTGTTGTTGATGTTCACATTAGCCTGTAAAATATTATCATGATATAATCAACACTCTTCATCAAGTCTGGATGTCATCTTTTTTCTTCCTTGTTTACACAATGAATTTGATCTGATGATACATGTATTTTTTTCTTGTCTCTTAATTCTTAAACATAAACTACGATTCAAAATCATAAGTCATACCAATCTTATAGGAAAAATTACATAAAGTGATACAGCTCTATATGTCATGATTTCTTTGTCACATGATCACACCAGTCTTAAATATTTTGCAGAAGTTTTATAATGTTCCTAGAAAAAATATGTAAAAACTGGCTTTCAACATTTACCATAAGGCATACTGATGACAATCTATCACGGAATTCATCTGTTGTGAGAAAGCCACTTTGATAAAACTCAGCCACAGCCTTGTTGTGCACCACTTTTGGATCTGTGCTCCTCTGAGCAATCAATTTGTGCATAAGGTTACAGCATGCACCATATTGTTTTTGATTAAATTCTTGAAGTGCCTGATTGGCTAATTCCTTCTGTTGTTCTGTTACTGAGGGAACTGGTGGTGGAGATTCCACTACTTCTACAGAATCCTCTTTGTTCTCAGCCATTTCTGTTTTCATGTAATTGAAGACAATCAAGCTGAAATGAAAAGAATTACATATTACAATTACATGTATTACTGCAACTGTCATTCAACCATTAGAAACAACCAATTTTGTGTGAAATTTAATTCATGCTGGAGTGGTTATTTTGTTAAGGTATTAAAACAAAATTTGCTATTTAGAAAATGGTTAACTATCAATATAAAAAATAAACAAGAGACCACTGGGCCTTAATTGTTCTCAAGTTCTTTAAAATCTGTCCAATCAAATATGAAGTATAACAATTCTGAAATGAAGAACATTTGATTCTAACATCCATGGACCTGAATGAGAAAACTATTGCTCAATTAAGTATCTATAGAAGTCTGGGCAAAATTTTGATTCCATAACGTTAAACTGGTGTCTCATGAAGATGTTCACCAGATTTGAAAATTTTCTGAGGGAAATCAAGCAAAATGCACCTACTCTAAAAAGTTTAAACTATAATGGTCTGTACACAGAAGGAAATGTGTGATAACTGGATCTTGAATTCACACTTTTGGTAAAGTGAGGACCTTACTACCAATCCATCCATCCATGAACAGTATTTTGACCAACACAAAATAAAATTATGGATATGGTAAACCTCCGGTCAGTTTGAATAGGCTGTTAGTTTGAACACATGATTTTTTTCCATAAAAACAATAATTTTCTGTCCAGCGATAGTTTGAACCCTTTCTAGTTTGTTCCACTTAAATTTTAAATTGTTCAAGCATATCACAAAACCAAACATTTAGCCATTGATAAAGTTACAGTTGTTGCAATGATCACCCAAAGTGGTTACATATCAAGGTTAAATACTGTGGGTAGAAGGTTGTAAATGACCATCATAAGCAATTGATAGCATCAAATCATACTCATATATGTCACTTTATTAGCATTGATGTATAGTTTGATTTCTTTCACATCTTGCCATAACATTGTGCATGCACCAGCTGACTCAATTAAAGACCCCACCTCGATAACTGGTACAAGCTAAGTGATCAGTAAATATACCAACCATGGGATGTTGCCATTTCTTTTGTCAAAGAACAACATTATTTCACTTCACATTTTGATAACATAATTATTCAAGACTGCCCCAATAATCATTGTGATTTGGGCAATGACAACCCTGATAGTTTGAACTCTAATTTATTTTCACTGACAAAATTTTGTATCATTTTAACAGGTTCTGTTATAATGAATTCATTTTGTTCTAACTGACAAAGGTTTAACATAGTCAAAACACTTCAGTTGCAGGTTAGCATACATCAAACTACCATCGCATATACATAACTCTAATAAAGGAGATTTAGGCCCTGAATTAAAAGTCCCAAAATTACTTATTTTGGAAGTACCGAAATCACTTTCCCCCATGTTTGTAACAAGTTCATTATTCTTATTTAAATGCAAGCAAGTTTATGCTGCTGACAAAAAAATACGGGAAGAAGGACAAAGTGGCAACTATATGCTTCCCCTGAAAAATGTTTAGGGGCATAGAAGTTATTGTCAAAAATGTAATTTTTCTATAGTCATCAAAATATACCCCCTTCTCGGGGCAAAATGTAAATAGTGTTATTCAGCTTTTGGTAGGTCTTAAGCAGACCATTCCATCCACGACCACGTTCAGTATACATGATTCCACTGTATGAAGGCCTTAATATTTTAAATTTTTGTCAATATGACCCATTTTGACCTCATTCAAATGCCCCTATGGTAGGGACGATAGCATTCACAATTTTGGTGCAACTTAGTCTATGAAAGGTTAAATTTGCTATCAAATTGATTAACCTTAAAATTGTGAATCCGTTCTGACGTTTTTGAGACGCCTAGAATGTCAATAGTTTACGGGAGAACGCCTGAAAAAAGCCGATCCCAATAGGCCATTCCTTTTTCGTTTTTGGTGACCTAATAATCGCTGGCGAGCGGAACTTCATGATAGCATTATTAATTTCCATCTGTTCATTATCCCTGCGGCGGTAATTATATTCATTGGAAAATAAATGCACATATTGTAGATAATGTGTGAAAGAAAAATAATTATGTATTAAAGAGATGTTGCATCTCTGATTTACCTGTATCAGTGTGCACAAGTTCTGAATTCCCAAATAACTTTTGTCAGCGAACAAACGCTTGCATGGGCGCTGCCATGTTTTTTTCTAATTCTCTTGAGCGCCCCCTATCGTGCGAATTTTCGTATGCAGGGGCCTGTATCTTTATCCGTCTGTATCAAATAGTATGACGTAGACGTCAGTGGTTATCAACAATATATCGCAGGATTAAACCTTCCATATGAGACAAATTGACGAAGACGTCCCTGGATACTTACATATTTCAGGAATAAATATTCATGTTATGATGTGCCATGATGAGTTTTTTTAAGCTGAACTTTTTGACACTCTATTTACCGAAATTAAAAAAAGGATAAAAAGATTTTCTAAACACGCAGGTTTACAAAAATAACTATCTGCAATATTACTTCAGGAAGTTAATTGTGTTTAGATAACGCATACAACGCTGTAATTTTTATGATTAAGGATTAGTAATAGTCTGCGAACGCAATGTTTGCTTACGAACGGGATACACTCTAGAAATAGATTAAGGAGTGTGTACGTTATGGATGGGGAGGAGGTGTGTACATTGTATAAATTCATACAAATTCATTTTGGCTACATCATTTAGTATCTAAATATTATTTTATTTATAAAGCACACCTCCAAGTACATACAGCCGATAACAAAGTGATAAAATTACAAACGCTGATAATTTATATAGATAACCGAGTGTCCGTGTTGCTCATGTGAAATCTTGTTTAGTAAGATGATGGAGGTAGATGGCGAAGCTCCACTGACATACCCAGGCATGGGTAGGTATAAGGTGTAAGGGGTCTGATAAGAGATGGGGATAGTATACTCAGAAGCAAGTTACTTTATCATAAGTAGTCATAGCGTATATCGTAATGATTGCCATACTTTAAAAAGTTGCAAACAATTGACTTAGATATAGTCAGATACACAACTTCATAAAAACACCTAAACAGTATGTGTCTGATACCTTTAAAGTTTTAATTAATCATGATTTTAATTAATTAACCACTGATTGACCCCTGATATTTGAGAATTTACTGACTGATTTTTACGGTTGAGTACCTTATCACGTGGTTTACTAATTAATTCGGTCTCCTAGTTTACTACTGATTGTTTATTGTTTCGATCTTTTGATTTTGACTCTAAATTTTCTTTTTGATAATTGAGTTCTGACCTGGTTAATTGTAGAGTGTTATTTTCGTTCTTTTGAGTTTGACTCTTAACTTTCGTCTCAGTGATATTTAAGTTCTGGCCCGGCTAATTGTCAATTGGTATATCATTAAGTGAATCCTATGGGGGTTTTCCTTTTAATTAAACCTGCACATACAGCTTTTACGTCTTTCTCTTACTCATCAGTGATGCTAAGGATTCTAAAGTGTTAAAGTCTTGGAGGCGACTGAGGGGGTCCAAAATAATCGAAACGGACAAACTGGTTAGGTGTACGAGTCCCATAACTCATTAACTTTCACTTACTTTTTAATTCAGGTTTTTACAGTCACGTTTCATTTCAACATTTTCATTTCATCATTTTTACAATTTTAAGTGAAGGCTATTGTAGTAGGTTCTGATACAGATTTAGAATATAATATATGGATTCATATGAGTAGCATATACAAGTACATCGGTTTTTTCCAGCATTTGACAAAATACCCATATAAAAAGCCCCATTTCCTGATTGTTAGTTCTGATTAGAATAAGGCAGACATATTTATCATAATTCATCCGTTACATATCATTCTGTTTTTTGGATGAGTAGGAACTTATCCACCATATTTAATTTTGCTATATTAGTAAAGATATGTTTTCAATTAATCAATTGTATGGTTTCCCCTCATTAATTTACACACACACACACACACACACAAACCCTCTTTCACACACACACACACACACACACACACACACACACACACACACACACACACACACACACACACACACACACACACACACACATGTAGTATTTTAAAATTTTGAACAAGAAATTGATTTCATAATCCACTCCAGTTCCAAATACACCACATAGCAGTACATATAAATCTCTAGATACCTCTTTACTACATTTTGATCTCAACAGAATCAATATAGATTACCAAAAAGGTCGAACATGACAACATTAAATCTAATAAAGTCACAAAGGGAACAGGATTAAATTAAATTGTATTAATTTTGTAACATCCTTTCTTCTAAATCCAAAGTGTACTAAAACATATATACAGCAACCTTCACTTAAATTGACCTCATAGAATAATTTTTTGGTCAAGCGTCAGGAGCCAGCATCAGACACTCACCCTACAGTCCTAATGGCGGACCCTAAAAACATCAATGTACCGAGTCAGGAGCCACACCAGAAACTCACCCCACAGTCCTATTGGCGGTCCCTGAAAACATCAATGTACCGGGTCAGGAGCCAGCACCAGACACTCACCCCACAGTCATATTGGCGGACCCTGAAAACATCAATGTACCGGGTCAGGAGCCAGCACCAGACACTCACCCCACAGTCCTATTGGCGGTCCCTGAAAACATCAATGTACCGGGTCAGGAGCCAGCACCAGACACTCAACCTACAGTCCTACTGGCGGACCCTTAAAACATCAATGTACCGGGTCAGGAGCCAGCACCAGACACTCACCCTACAGTCCTACTGGCGGACCATGAAAACATCAATGTACCGAGTCAGGAGCCAGCACCAGACACTCACCCTATAGTCCTACTGGCGGACCATGAAAACATCAATGTACCGAGTCAGGAGCCAGAAACAGACACTCACCCTACAGTCCTATTGGCGGACCCTGAAAACATCAACGTGCCGAGTCAGGAGCCAGAAACAGACACTCACCCCACAGTCCTATTGACGAACCCTGAAAACATCAATGTACCGGGTCAGGAGCCAGCACCAGACACTCACCCCACAGTCATATTGGCGGACCCTGAAAACATCAATGTACCGGGTCAGGAGCCAGCACCAGACACTCACCCTACAGTCCTACTGGCGGACCATGAAAACATCAATGTACCGGGTCAGGAGCCAGCACCAGACACTCACCCTTCCTATTGGTCAGGAGCCAGCACCAGACAATCACCCCACAGTCATATTGGCGGACCCTTAAAACATCAATGTACCGGGTCAGGAGCCAGCACTAGACACTCACCCTACAGTCCTATTGTCGGAGCCTGAAAACATCAATGTACCGAGTCAGGAGCCAGCACCAGACACTCACCCTACAGTCCTATTGGCGGTCCCTGAAAACATCAATGTACCGGGTCAGGAGCCAGCACCAGACACTCACCCCACAGTCATATTGGCGGACCCTTAAAACATCAATGTACCGGGTCAGGAGCCAGCACTAGACACTCACCCTACAGTCCTATTGGCGGTCCCTGAAAACATCAATGTACCGAGTCAGGAGCCAGCACTAGACACTCACCCCACAGTCCTATTGGCGGTCCCTGAAAACATCAATGTACCGAGTCAGGAGCCAGCACTAGACACTCACCCTACAGTCCTATTGGCGGTCCCTGAAAACATCAATGTACCGAGTCAGGAGCCAGCACTAGACACTCACCCCACAGTCCTATTGACGGATCCTGAAAACATCAATGTACTGTGTCAGAAGCCACCACCAAAAAACTCATCCTACCGTCCTATTAGAGGAAGACCTTACCAGGAATAGACGAAGTAATAGAGGAGAAATGTATCACGGAGCTGTCGAGAGATACCAGCCCATACAAAGTTAGCGGACTTGACAAAATATCTGACAGGATACTGAATGAGCTAACGGAGGACTTGTTGACTCTCCTAACGACCATTTATAATATCTGCTTCAAAGAGGAATATATCCCGCGTGATTGGAGCAATACAAATGTCACTGTCATTTTCAAGAACGAGGAGAGATTCAAGGCTTCACACTACAGACAAGTCTCCCTTACATACATCTATTGTTCAAGAACACATCATCGTCTCCGGTGTACCGAAATATCTTTAAACAGATAGGATCCTCGCAAATTGCCAAAATGGTTTTACGGCTCTACGTATCTGCAAAACACAACTCGTGTCATTCTGTTACGACCTAGTAGATAGATGAGAGTCAAAACAGACATGGTCTTCCTGGATTTTTCGAATGTTTTCGACCGTGTGCCATACCAGCGCTCGGTAAAGTAACTACAACAGTATGGTATCAAGAACTTTACCTTCGATTGGAGTCCTGATTTTCTAGGCAGGTTACTTTATAAGGAATAACGTCATATGAGGCAGCCTTAATCAGTTGGGACCCCGAAGGGACAGTACTCGGGTCGTTGCTGTTTCTATTCATAAACGACCTCCCAGAGATCATCATATCAGGTGTTCGTTTATTCCCAGATGACTGCGTGGTGTTCAGCCGGATAGAGTCCCAGAGCCTCAATATCCTACATGATAACCTTAACACCTAGACTGAATGCGGGTACATTTGAAGTATGGACAAATATAGTGTCCATTGTGTCGGTGAGAGCGGACTTTGCCACCAACATTGATATGAGCTCAAACAACTCCTACCACATGTACCTCGGCGATGACATCCTCTCTGACCTGTCATGGAAACATATCAACAGGGTTACTAAGGAGCCGTCATCCTGCGCTTCTTGGTGAAGAGACACAAGATCTTCAATGGGCCTGTTAAGACCGTGGCATATAAAACCTTAATGAGACCAAGCCTAGAGTTTCGCATTCTTGGTTGATTGTTGATATATTGGAATATAGCTTTGTTAACCGTTGTGATATGTAGAATATATATTTCATATTAACAAAAAGGCTGTTACGTTGTAAAGGAGCGGACGATCGAAACGGAGGCTAATCAATCGCGGAACAAGATCCGGTATAGATTTGGGTAGAAATGGGTAGAGTTTGGTAAGATTTTACCGATAATATTTGGGTAGAAATGGGTAGATTTGGGTAAGATGTGGGTAAAATTTGACCGGTAAGATCTGAGTAGATTTTGGGTAAGATTTGACCGGTAAAATTTGGGTAAGATTTGACCGGTAAAATTTGGGTAAGATTTGACCGGTAAGATTTGGATAAAGTGTACGATTTAGGTACATTTGGGTTATTCTTCGTGCTGAAACTAGCAGGTATTGCGCTTCAATGGAACACCAACAAAAACAACTGGAAAGGCTGCATGGCAAACAACCACAGAAAACGCCAGTTGTGTGTCTGATATGTGAAGGCAGAGTCTTACTTCACAAACTCATGACCAAGTTATCCTTCTCAGAGTTGCTGTGGCTGGAGCTGTGCCGCTTGGGCTCCAGTGGCCGTTACGGTAGCCGGAAGTTGTTCTGGTCCCAGACATTACGCTCTTTGATACGATTCATTCCCTATTCTATCTTCTATTCTTATTTTACTGCAAAACACTTTACGTACATGTGTGGTGGTGATTTTTGACTGCTCAACGATGTAGATGCACTGGGTTTTTAATTACCTTTCTAAATTTTCACCAAAGCACTGTAATTAATTGCCAAAAAACTTAAATTTTCAATGTGGCTTTAACTGGCATTCTCATATCAATGTATAAATTCAGTAGTCAACGAAACAAAATGACCAACGATTTAGACGGTAGCATTCGGAATCGGACATATGACAAGCCTAAGTGGGAATGGGTCACTATTTATGGATATCCATAAATATTTAAAATATTCCTAAATAGTTTTTTTCCACTTTTGTTTGTCATACTAACAAAGGAGAAAATGAGCAAGAAATAATTGTGGATTGTTAAATTTTGCTATGTGTATTGATATCTAAGCAGTAAACAGTATGTCAAAAAATGAAAAAAAATGAGAAAAACGTTCTTGATAAAAGCATTTTTGAGAATAAATAATTTGATACTGACCACGTGTACCACTTACAATGACCACGTGTCCACTCACATTTGATCAACTAATTAGCCATATGAAAGTAAAACGTAAATGTACTGAAATAGTTAGGACTTGCGCAAACCAAGGCATTTTACGCTCATTATGATCACATGATCTATCACATGAGTTCAGATGTAAACCAGGAAGATGGCGGACGATAGCGAGAGACAACCTCTCCTTGTAAACAATCAAGAACCTCATGGATTAGGTAGTCCCCCAGCGTATACGGCAACAGCAGGTACTTTCTTTTTAGCCGTTGAATATCTTTCTCGTGTTCTTTTGAAAAATAAAATATGTCCACTTTAACGGATAATTTGATGTAAGTTGTATTTGTCGCAAATTTTTCATCATCGTTATCATTAGGACCTGGTCATACCTTCCGAATATGAAGTACAGTTACATAAAGCACTACACAATCCGCTGATTCTATATCATACACTAGTAAGTAATTATGTAGACTATACGTTAAAGATAACATCAAATTATAAGTAACCAGCGTAAATTACTAAATAATGTTAATCACTTGGTAAATTATATTTTGAATTTGTATTTTTTTGTCACAAGTAGGACGCTTAGGGACATTCGATTCGACTACAACTAATCTAGGGAACCGACTAGACTAGTAAAACTTAAACTAGCTTGTTACAAGGTAAATGAAAAAAACCCATTTAAAGTCAGTTATATAAAAACAGAAAACACTAACTATTTTCTACGGAAGGTAATCCAAAGGGTTCTGACTATCTATCCACGAGTTGATTTTTTCTTGGTCCAGGATGATAGAATTTCTCCCTATATAAAACTTGCATATGTGTCAAAGCCGTTAAATATTGTTAAGTAAGTATTTACACTCATTGTCCTTAACAACTTTACTTTCCAGCATATTTACAATGGCCACCACTAGACTTGTGCTTATAAATCTATCATCCCAGCCAATCTCACAACAATTTTCTTTTTGTCATGTTAACAGTAACAAAATGAATTATTGTTTAGATCAAACTCCATTGATTAGGCCTTAGCAGTGTTACTAATACTTATCATTGTTTCAGGTCCATCAGGAGGTAATGTGACTGTTCCACCTATAGGCCCAGATGAGTTACCTCCTCCTTACACCCCCACAGCACAAGGGGGGATTCCCATGGTGAATTGTAAGGTCTGTCAGGCACTCATCAACATAGAAGGAAAAACAAACCAGCATGTTGTTAAATGTACTGTGTGTAAGGAGGCAACAGTGAGTTATCTTTCCTAATACGTAATGTTCACCCCACATTAATGTTGTGTTGTTGTCATATAACGTAATGTACATTAAGGTTGTGTTGTCTTCATGTAATAAAATGTACATTGAAGTTGCTTTGTCATATATTATAATGTACATTAAGGTTGTGTTGTCTTCATATAATATAATGTACATTAACTTTATGTTGTCATAATATAGTATAATGCACATTAAAGTTGTGTTGTCATCATGTAATATAATGTATTGTTAACAAAAACTCCCTTTCATTATCCATCAATTAGAGTATCAATTTTGTTATTTGGTGTTGTTTTAGCCAATCAAGGCACCACCTCCTGGAAAGAAGTATGTGCGATGTCCTTGCAATTGTCTGCTGATCTGTCGAAGTACAGCCCAAAGAATCGCTTGCCCTAGACCAAACTGGTAATTTCAATTCCATAATTGTTCTTATTTGTTTGAATTTTCAATAGATATATGTTATAGAACTCTTCAGTACTGTTCTTTGTTCATTTCAGTCGAAGAATCATCACTCTTGGAAATATGATTTCTACAGTAACAGTGCGATCTCCAGGGACTCAGAGGATCCGTTGTAGCCACTGTGGTGATGTCTATTTGGTGAGTATCTTGTATCTGTTGCTGCGGAATTTCTGAAATAACTACTCATGTAATATCTTGATTCTTTAGACGCAGTTACTTTGAAATTAATGATGGCTTATATGATTCTATATGATCATATAAATAAAAACTTGACATCTTATAAAATCGAATGGGTTTACTTTATATGATAAAGTCAGACCTGTCTTTAAGGCCACTATATATATAGATCACATGTTTTGGTCTCCGTGGAATACATTTTATAGTATTAAGATTTGCACTGCCATCCACTATATGAAGCATACTAGAAAAATGACTTTCATAAAACTATAAAAGCTGAAAAATTCAGATGCTATTTGGTAAAATATTTTTGTTTGCTCAGTGATTCAAGCTACGTTTAGGGGAATCCCCCAAGTGTCACTTGTCTCTGGCAGTGCTGAAAAATATCATAAAAAAGCGCAACAAAATATATAAAAACATTTATAAAACAAATTCAACAATTTCGAAGTATATGAAGTAAAAGAAACAGTATTTGTTTATTTATCGCATAAAAAACAACAATGTGTTGTCACTTAAATCTGTTGTCTGTTGAAACATCAATCATGTCAGACTCGGAGTAAATAGGCTCTTAGCCAGCAAACGAATACAGCATGTTTGAGATCCCTCACCAGTGTATAATGGTCGAGGATGGATTTGGTGAAGATGAAATAAGATCAGATGGGGATATACTGTTGGGTAATTAAAAATCACCCTGGACTACTGACAGAAATTGTGTTTGATGGACGTAGCTTTCACTTCAGATTGTAGATGAAACACACACATATGCATCACTGTAGTGTCAGCCATGACATTGAGAATGATATTGACGATAGGGGTTTATTTTAACGTTTTTATGATATGTTAATCTTTAATTTTTTCCAATTTGAAAGATCAAAATATTCATTTAAAGCAATGCAAAACAGTACATAGTTAAACATTCTCTAACAAACTCTATTTCTTATAGCTGTGTGTTGTTTTTACAATCACCAAGTGACCTAGAGCTTATTCCTGCTGAAAGCTGTTCTTTCTGTACTGATTTTTCCCTCGATAAGAATAGTTTTGGTACAAAAAAAACATCATAAAAGTTAAGAGATAAGGCAAAAAATGAGATAAATAAGTCATGAAAATACAAATAATTACATGGATTGAAAGTCAGGTTTTAAACTTCCATGGTGCTGTGAAAGTTCTGCGGTTACATCTATATGGTATGAGTGGCCTTTATAGACAGGTTTGTCTGTATTTCACGACATGGTGAATGTATGTATTAACTTTTTATTTCTACTTTGTAGTTCAACACTTTGGGAAGTAACCTTCTAGCCAGATGTCCACATTGTAGGAGTGTGTAAGTATGGAAGAAAAACAAATCTATCATGTCCTAAACTTCCCAGTCTTTTGATAATTTTCATGATCCAGAAGCTCTGCTATCAGTGAAGTTCTCTAAGGAGCACTACCAAGTACTGACAGATTGATTAACCCCAGACAAAAGTAGATAATTCTCACCTGTGTTATTCCACATATTGCATCTAATGACCGGGGTGGTAGCCATATCATGAAAGTAAAAACAAAACACCACTTTTAACTTCCTGTTTAACAAAAATTGTGTATTGGAGGGGACGTACTGCTTTTAGCATATGGGTGAAACGGTTGTTGTATAAACATCTTGTTTTTAAAAAAATGTATTTAAACAATTCATTTTACAACAATTGCGAAATAGATTATCAGCTTATATTAAACATTCGTTGGCTCAGATGGAAATGCATGAGGGGTCTTACTATGTCACCCAGAGTAACGGGGTGAAATCCATGTAGTCAATACCTTTTCACATTATGATCTGGAAATTGAACCTCAATCATGTGGTGAAAGGCAAGTGCTACTCAACCACACCATTGTTATATCATATGTTTATCTCTTCAGGTCATCGGTGGGACCAGAATATGCCAGAAGAAGGGCAACCATTTGTTTTGTGTTGGGACTGATATTCTTGGGAGCTGGCATTGGGGTTACAGTAAGATATTTTCTATTTTATCCTTTGAAATGAACCTTTCATGACGGAATGGTTGAAATCTTAATCTGTATCGTAAGATCTATCAAGCAAGTTATCAAATTAGGGTAATCTTGACTTGAATGAGAGTACAAAGTACTACTGTTGCATGTAAGATGAAACCTTGTAAATAGAGAAAACTTTTCTAGTTGGGCAGATGACACACAAACTTTTCATGGGAATCGAACCCTGGCCATCAGGGTGAAAGATGTGCTACCAAACAAATCAAAGCGTATATATTAAGTTTGATATATTGTATAAGAAATTATTGCAATTGAATCTTTTTAAAGTTAATTTGATGATTAAATTACAGGTTGGTACATATGAGTTGGCAAGTGAAAGTGGTGGTATTTACACAGTGTGGATAGGTAAGTCATTTATTTCATTGTGTGTGTGCGTGTACCTGTAATCTAAGGGAAATAACTCACCTATGTTTACATGTATTATAAGGGAAAGAATTAATTTATGTTTACCTGTAATATATGGGAAAGGATTCACCTGTCTTTACTTGTGATAAATGGAAATGGATTCACCTGTATTTGTATGTAATTAAGGTAAGAAGGCATTTGTAAGCAAAGGTACAGCTCATATTACAGTGCAGCTTATATGTGGATCAAATAAAAAAAAATTGGTAAAAATCTGTTCTGCAGCTTATATATCGGTGCAGCTTATAACCTGGAAAATATGATACATACCTGCCATACGTCACATTTTTGACATGACTATCACACTATTTTACCTTCTCCTTAGTACCAAAAAATATGGCAGTTATGTCAGTAATTCACATATCTTATACATTGTTATACAATATTCATGTATTAGGGTTCACCATTACTACTTAGGTGTATTGATGATATGAATGTATAAGATAACACTGCTTACCTGGTTGGTGTTAGAAGTACTGTTGGAACTCTTTTATTTCTGTTTCAGGAGCTTTTCTGACAGGACTCATCTTCATAATACGAGGAATATACTTTGCCGCTATGAAGGTTAGCTACGTTGTGGAACCTGGTGCGGCATAAACACAAAAGATCGACATACTGGTGATTGCGGTTGAATTCTACAAGACACATTGATAACAGATATAGACTATTTTATCTGTTTTTGTCGGAAAATTTTTCAACCACTGGATCAATTTTCAACAAATTTTATGATAAGTGCTTTTTGTCAGGTTTTTTTTATATTTTTAAGACTTTTCTGTTCCTTTATGCTTCAAGCCTTATGATAAACAGGTTTTTTTGATGTGTGGAAAATTGAAAAAAATTTAATTGTTATTGACTTGGAACTATTCAAAGAAGACTTTCATGTCAGATGGTGTTTCATTTGAATTCTTGTAAGGTTTAAATACTAGGAGTAACAAATATGAAGGATTTCACAATTTCTGTATGAAAATGGTTTTCTGTAAACCAACTTCTTCCTGATGTCTGTATGAACCAAATTGTTAACAGGTGATCATCTTGTCTCTCTTCACACCTGAAATAGTTAAAGGATTAATCAAGACATGTACCGTGAAAGTGTCTTTACCTTATCTTGCAATAAACCCAGAGGGCCAACACATTGTCGTTAATTTCAGGGAGTGGGCTTATAACAGGACATTGAATTTACACTTGTTATCAGAACAATTGATGGGCATATTGCGGGATAAATATAGGTACATGTGTATTATGAAAAAATTTCTGTTGTAAACTTCTGAAGAACAGCATACGTTGTACTTTTATTTCCAGTTTGACCATTTACTTTTATTTTAATTGGTCAGAAATTTTTTTTAATTAGAAGTCAGCTTTTGGACAAAACTTTTTTAATGGGTTTACTCTCTATTCATTCAAGTAACGGCATCAACCCTGAAAGTATGCCTGGGTTAGATCTCAGAATTGGTTTACAAGTTTTACAGGATTTTGAATTCTTCACCCAACTATTGAAAAAGTTTGTCTAATTTGCACATGCAGGCATTGTTTGTTGTAAAACAATGATACCATTAACAATCGTTTGTATATTCCAGCATTTACTGGTATTAATCACAGGCTATGGATTGCTGAGCAATGTCATGTTTTAAATACAATTACTTGACCATTTACTCAATACTTTAAAAAATATATGATCATGAGCTTGAAACATTTAAGTATATTTGTCTGTAATATTGTTTTGTCAGCCTTATCTCCTCCAGGTAACAAGTTTTCTCTTCTCTTGATTAAATATTAAATGTCTGTGTATTTCATTTTTAGGTTTGATTTCTTTAATTTGTTCATATTTTGTTTTTGTACAATTTTACCCCTTCCCCTACCCCTATCTCCCAATGGAGCCAAAATGAGGCAAGTCCTATTATGAATAATGAAATAACACCAGTTGAGTTAATTCTGGAATGCAGATATGATTAACTCTATAATCACACTTGTACACTAGAGGTAGATGGTGTGTGATGACACAAGACAATTTTGGTAACCATATATTTACTCTAGATTTTTGTGATATCAGCTTTGTTCAATAAAATATGTTTTAAGATATCCTCAAAATGAAATGATTTTTATTGTCCTGTTAAAACTTAGTTTTTTTTGTCGGAAGCAGATTATTTTTGTATGGTTTGATGTAATGAACATTTTGCTACATTAGGAACCATATTTGTACATTTGTATATGTGTTAGCTGGAGTTCAGAATTATATTGATATATGGTTGTTTCTATGGAAATTGTTTTGTGTTTTATCAATTCTGTTAACCTAATTGTGATTGTTGATTTTAAACTGTACTGCAAATGGTCAATATTTAGATAAGTTAAGTTTTCTAAACCCATTTTGAATTTGTAGCAAAATCTATTTAAATCCTCTGTATTCATGTCATACTTTCCTGCCATACTTTTTTTTCTCTTTGAAAAATTCTCCAAAATATAGCGATAGGAATATTGTCTCTAATTATATGTTGAAAAAATGTTTGAGTTGTGAACATTTTTAAGTTACCTTGTGATATTGCATTTCAGAAATAAAAAGAAATTATTTTGTTGACTAAGGTAGATGGCAATGCTTTGTTAGATGAATTCAAATAGTAAACCAGAGATTATTGCCAATCTTGCAGTTATTAGAGCATAGAATTACACAACAGTGTGTGTAGAGTAACTCAGTACTATTCAAAGATGTTTTGTTAACTGTTGATTCTTTTAAAGAAATTGTGAAATATGTCTTCAATGTACATAAACTATGTGAACCAATATTTATAACTTTTGATAATATTATAACATTATAACATGTGATAAAGTTCTAGCTGTTTATCTTCTCTCCTCACATTCTCCAACACTTGATCAAGTCACTTTGAGTTTACAATGTTGCCACACTCCATGTATCTACCCGAAATATAAATATTGAAAATTGTGAAAGTAAGACAAGGTCTAATAAATTGATCTTTTGAATTATAAGTAATTGTATTAGTAAAAATACTCTATTATGCAGAGGAAAGGAATTCTATAAAAATCAAAATAACCAGCAGGAAGTTTATCCATTTAGTCTTTTCAACAGATATTTGATTTTTATGAATTTCAGGAAAAATATACAAATATGATGCTTCTGTGTTAAATGACAGTGAATAGATAATACATCAACATTAGACACTGAGATTATATGAAGTTTATTGTTAACTTTCTTGTATATATAAAATGTACTATTTTACCCTGTTATAAGCCTAGAGGTCAAACCTTTTACCCTTGATACAAAATGGTGGATGGCCTTATTGCTGGACAATAAAACATTTTTTAGTTTTTGCCTCTACTGAACAGCAATAGATTTAAGCAGGGTTATTACCAGCCATGGGCTTGTTTTTGATTTATGATATGTGAGATCACTTGCTTTATTGTTATATATGATTACACTTTGTGCTTACGTCAGTGTGAATTTATTCCATTATAGTGTGCGAGGTATTATATTTATTAAAAATTTTAGTGTAAAACTTCCTTAAAATGAAAATAATGATCAACATTTTTATATATGTGTGTAAAATATTAATTTTATTTGTTAAAATTTCTGAACAAAAAAGTGCTTTCATACAAAATATATGAAAGTTGGGGGGTTGTTATTGCAGAGGAGGATGTAGTAATGTGTTTTTTGACTTAGAGGAGCAATTGTTTCTCACCAACTGCACAGTCCATTGTCTTTTATTTTAAGGAAGATTTTCCATTTTGCTATATATACTGGATGAAAACTTTTTGTAGAAGGCTCATTATGGCTGTGATTGTACAGAACATGAAATATTCCATGTACTGAAATGTTTAAACAGGTAATTGTATTAACCATTTTACAGTGTTTGGTGACACTGCTGTAACCTACAAACTCCTCACAGGAACCATTTCTCCTGGTAATAACAAGGACACTGGACACACATCCTAAACTAACTCTACCTATACTGGTTGATATTGGTACTATTGGAATGAGTGCTATGCTTGTAAAGTTTTAACAGACATAGATTCTGAAACACTGCTTGATTACACAGGTGTTCCTCTGTGCCGCACCTTGTGTTATGTTCATAGTGCCATAAGGAATTTGATGTTATGTTAAAAATGCATGCTTTGGTTCTAACCACAAGGTCATTGTCACAACAAGAGGTCTTGTCATTGTATTGGTTGCTCTCTGGACATAGTGTAATAGAAGAGTATAGGACTGGATAGCAAAGTCTTATTCTTCTCTCTCTTGTCTTGATCTGGAGACAACAGTCACACACAAATAGGACAGATTTAGTAACTGTCACACAAGGATGAAATTTAGTTATCATCACACACATGGTTCAAATTTAGTCGCATATACACACCGGGGACAAATTTAGTTGCTGCCACACACCAGGGTCAAATTTAGTTACCATAACAAACATGGGTAAAATTTAGAAATCATTGCACACAGTCAAATAGTATCATACAGTCTCACACACAGGTCATTTAGTTATTGTTTCACTAATGGGTCAATTTTAGTTACCTTAACACTAATAAGTCAAATTTATATACTGTTACACATATGGGTCAAAATTTTGTAGTAACATTCACAAGTTTCACTACACAATGTGACTGTACTAAGCTTTTAACATATTAGAGTACAGTGTTTCTGTACAAAGTTTTACTTCACTAAACAGTAAATTTATACATTGTTCCTATGTGTAACAAATTTCTATAAATATACAAATATTTTTATCTTCCTATAGAAGAAACCTTATTGTGGTTTTGTGACCTGGATGGTCACATATAAACAATTTTATTAGTTTGATTTCCCAAAACAAAGTGCTTCTATAATGTTTTATTGTTATAGAATTGTTACATCAGCATAGATATTTTGTACATTGTAAATCCTGGATTAACTTGGTGTTATTTCTTATTTATTTACACGACTAGAGGTGTGGCAGTTTGTACTTCCTCAAATATAGACTTCTCCTCTTGGTTCCTGTCATTAACCTTACGAAAGGATGAATGTGTCTTTTAAAGCTTGATGTTCAGTATAAAGCTGCATGTAGAAAATGGTATTTTTTCTTACATTCTGCACTCGGTAATTCTTCAAAGATCAGTAATAGGTGTCCGCCATAACATAATTAGTCAGTTTACTTTAGTTGATATGTATATTATGATCAATTTTGAAGTACTCTCTGACTTCCTTAACTGTTGTGTTTATTATGCTGTTACCATGCTGCCATACCCCTTCACACATACTACACATCCCTACTCTTCGATGGATCACCAGAGATCATCCAGGAAAGAAATGGTTAATTGTATGATGAACACGATATGCATTTGTGTATAAATAAATCTATCTCCAACATTGCAACTATTTCTTTTCTTTTTAATAAGAGTAGTGAAAACAAAATTTTCATGAGGGAAGCCAGCACAGGTCCAAAATTGATAAAGAACCATTTGTGGACCAGACATCACTCATCAATGTTTTGTCTTGTTCCGACTATCTGTGAGAAGTAGCAATTACAAAATTTACTTTCAAGATGGTAGCCATCTTGAATGCAGGAAAAGTCCAGATTCAATTATGACCATCTGTGAATCCAATACAGCTCACTAATGTCCGGTCTTTTGATGACTTTCTGTTTTAAGTAGGAAGTACAAAATTGTGCCAATTAGAACTATGGAGACCTTGTTTAATTATCCATTTTGGACGAGTAGTAATAGTCATTGTTTGCAGATCAACGGATGAGGCATGACAAAAGGTCTTCAACTAGCACAGGTAATGGAGAAAGATATAGACAAGATTGAATCTGGTGCAAAACATGACTGGCAACATTATTACCCAAACAGTTCAACCTTGATTGATGTGCAATAAAAGATAGCTGAGTGTATGGCACTTCATCAAAATCCCTCCAGGAATAAAGTCACTAGAGCACTTACAAAGATATTCTAAAAATAGTAATGGTGACCTTCACCCTGACAATACTACCATCAAACATGAATCATCCAAAATATTTTCATTAGTGCCAAGTTGAATCAACATACCTAAAGAAATGAAGACTCTAGAGCACTGACAAGGATTTTCTTAAAATTGCAAGTGACCTTGACCCTACAACCGTGAAACTCCAATGTGTTCAAGGTATTATGGTCCTCTATAAGTAAGTCAAGTGAAATCAAAAAGCCTAAAAAAATCAAGCCTGTGGAGTTCTAATAAGGATTTTCTAAAAATAAGTGACTTTAAGCATACAACTTATCTAACTATGGTCCTTCTGGAGTGTGTAGTTTGATCGAAATCCCCCAAGGCATTAAACTGCTAAAGCCCTCAAAAATTTAAGGGACCAGTATGTAAGGTATCAACAAGACACAACACATGTATATAAAATGAAACAAGTTTTATTTTGACACTTTCAGTTTAACAATGGAATATTGACAGTATGCCAGGCAAGAAAAACAAAGAGATGTACACTGTGTTTATAACACTGCACAACTGTAATGGGATATTGTGAAAAATAGATACGTTTTTACGGACAAAGTATTGACATTCTAAAAATAAAGAAGGTGCAAAAATGGCCTGTATCATTCACTTGTTGTCACAAAATATTGAACATTATACCAGTGATTTATTATAATTACTAATGTTTCTATACAAAAGTTTGAATGATTTTACTTGACAAGCTTTTTTTTAAGATTTGACTCGGTAATCTCTATTGCTCTATGCTGTTTAATACATTGAGGATTTACTACTTTGAGAAGGGATGACCTTCATCATATCTTCCAACTCATTGTAGTCCTGTGATGATTTACCATTAATCATGGTGGAGGTCTCAATTACCTCCACCCCAAAAACAATATACATTATCAAATCTATGTAAATGCTAATTGTAGACCTAAATGTATCAATATTGACCAACATATCCAGGTCATTGGCCAAAAGAATATGCATCTTTTTATAACTAATATGTGTACTTGTAAAAAAATTGGAAAAAGCATGTAAGAGTAACTGGATTAACAATATTATGCAAAATTGTTTTCCCACTTCAACTGGCTACCCAAAACCTCACACTATGGATACTTGAAATTTTAAACTGACTTTATAAAAAGAAATAAAAAGTAATCTGGTTTAATATTATCAGGGAAAGTAAAAATCGTAAAAAAATGAACACAATCTTAGAAAGACATGGAGAAATGGAATTATTAGGGAAGTATTAGCACCATCCATGTCAAAGTTATTCTAGAAAATACATCTTGTTTAAACACTCACCGATTAAAAAAGCTGAAAAAGGAACAGCAGCAGTATTATGACAGTATTATGAGTCCTTGCGATCGTATTATGATGGAGTCAAAGTTTTATATTCAATTGTAATGTTAACTACAAATTCAGATTCCCTCAGGTGTTTAAAGAAATCTGTTACAATGTATTTTAATTTTACTTAATAACTGAATATGGAATGTGGTCAAAATATCAGACAGGAATTTTGGATTACAGGTCATATAAATGAAAATATGAACAATGTCTGATCACGAGTTCAGCGACAGCTTTAATAAATTCTGCTGAATGGTTGAAATATTTTTTTGTATCAATTAAATACATTTACAGCTGATCGAGAATTGGCAGGGAAAACAGTGTAAACAAGAAATTATCAATAGTTTTCTTTCCCTACCTACCATAACTTGGCACAATTATGAATTATGGGAGATTCCACTGTGTAATTTTTCATTGTTACTACTGTATTACAATGCACATCAACATAATTTCAAAACTGTAAAATATTCTTTCATTGCACATGAAAGTTCACATGTAATTTACAATAGTTTTAGCCATTTTTGTAACATGTTCTAAACTACTTCCTATAACAATAACAAATCTCTTTATATACGATACAGACACAAATATCACATTTCCACATCCATTTTAGAATTTACATTACCATTTGGTCATGTTAGTGGCTTAGTAAACAATTCTCCTACAATAAAAATGCTGAAATATCTTTAAAAAAAATGAATTTAGTTGAAGGCAAGTAATTTAAATTTGTAATCAATATGTAAAATCATATTGGTTTCGATTGAGTATGCAAGCCTTTTTTAATTACATCATTCTATCCAGCACCTGTGAGACAAATGTTACACTATAAAGATTGACAAATGCAGCACCATTTCTACCTATTCTAGAACACTTCTCTGTAAAAGATTTATTACAAAAATGTGCATTTTGGTTTACAGAATGTAATTTTAAGTTTATAGACAGGATGACAGCTACTAATGAACAACATATGACTATACAGGTAATGATATAAAATTATTCATAATTCCTAATGATAGGAGGCATACAATCAACATGGTTCCAGCATACAAGAGGCCCAATGGACCTGCATCTCTCACCTGGTATTCAATGTTCATCAAAAATACATTCATACTTCGTGTCTCAAGTGCATGAACGCGTACACCATTAACATTTAAAGTGGGCACTTCAAATCAATTTTAACCAATTTCCACGACAAACTTAACCTTTTTACAGGTTTGTGTTTTATAAAAAGAAGTCTTTAACAGGTTTTCACAAATTTGACCTGTGACCTTGAAAATGGTTCAGGTAATGTCTTATTACAAATGTTGTCAGGCCAATTATCAAGAAGAATTCAGTATATAATTTACCAATAATCAGGAATAATTCTGTATGTACTGTACCAATAATCAGGAATCATTCTGTATGTACTATACCAATAATCAGGAATCATTCTGTATGTACTATACCAATAATCAGGAATCATTCTGTATGTACTATACCAATAATCAGGAATCATTCTGTATGTAATATACCAATAATCAGGAATCATTCTGTATGTACTATACCAATAATCAGGAATTATTCTGTATGTAATATACCAATAATCAGGAATAATTCTGTATGTACCAATAATCAGGAATAATTCTGTATGTAACATACCAATAATCAGGAATAATTCTGTATGTTATATACCAATAATCAGGAATAATTCAGTATGTACCAATAATCAGGAATAATTCAGTATGTACCAATAATCAGGAATAATTCTGTATGTACTTTACCAATAATCAGGAATAATTCAGTATGTACTTTACCAATAATCAGGAATCATTCAGTATATATCAATAATCAGGAATAATTCTGTATGTACTGTACCAATAATCAGGAATAATTCTGTATGTACAATAATCAGGAATAATTCAGTATGTACTATACCAATAATCAGGAATAATTCTGTATGTACTGTACCAATAATCAGGAATAATTCTGTATGTACTGTACCAATAATCAGGAATAATTCAGTATGTACTGTACCAATAATCAGGAATAATTCAGTATGTACTGTACCAATAATCAGGAATAATTCTGTATGTACTATACCAATAATCAGGAATAATTCTGTATGTACTATACCAATAATCAGGAATAATTCTGTATGTATATAATCAGGAATATACCAATAATCAGGAATAATTCTGTATGTACTGTATACCAATAATCAGGAATAATTCTGTATGTACTATACCAATAATCAGGAATAATTCTGTATGTACTATACCAATAATCAGGAATAATTCTGTATGTACTGTACCAATAATCAGGAATAATTCTGTATGTACTATACCAATAATCAGGAATAATTCTGTATGTACTATACCAATAATCAGGAATACCAATAATCAGGAATAATTCTGTATGTACTGTACCAATAATCAGGAATAATTCTGTATGTACTGTACCAATAATCAGGAATAATTCTGTATGTACTGTACCAATAATCAGGAATAATTCAGTATGTACTAATCAGGAATACCAATAATCAGGAATAATTCTGTATGTAATTCTGTATGTACAATAATCAGGAATAATTCTGTATGTACTATACCAATAATCAGGAATAATTCTGTATGTACTTTACCAATAATCAGGAATAATTCTGTATGTACCAATAATCAGGAATAATTCTGTATGTACTGTACCAATAATCAGGAATAATTCTGTATGTACTGTACCAATAATCAGGAATAATTCAGTATGTACTGTACCAATAATCAGGAATAATTCTGTATGTAACAATAATCAGGAATAATTCTGTATGTACTATACCAATAATCAGGAATAATTCTGTATGTACTATATGAATAATCAGGAATTATTCTGTATGTACCAATAACCAGGAATAATTCTGTATGTACTATACCAATAATCAGGAATAATTCTGTATGTACTGTACCAATAATCAGGAATAATTCCAATAATCAGGAATAATTCTGTATGTACCAATAATCAGGAATAATTCTGTATGTACTGTACCAATAATCAGGAATAATTCTGTATGTACTATACCAATAATCAGGAATAATTCTGT